GACTGGTGATTAGGACGCTGGGTGGTGGTGGTGCCAACTTTGAACATGTTCATTGGGGGAATACAAAAATATTGGTACAGGTGCACAGTGTACGGTCAGCTGATGACAATAGGATAACAGGTAACAGACCGGTTGACTGGTGGAGGTTATCGAATACACAACTATCAAGAAATAATTTTCACCTAATGCACACACCACTAATTGATAAGATTTAGAAAAACAAATTAGTACAAATTCTACAACATTACATATTATAAAGTGTATTTCATCTATTTATACATATATATATATCTATTGATCGATTTGTATCATTGTTATTACTTCTGTGGTGCTAAATTATATATCGCACGTGTGGTGATCAACAATATATTGGTACGTGATAAATGATATCTGATAGTGATTAAAATTACCATCACAAAAAAACGCTTCGACGTAAATCTGTAGATAGTGTTTAATTTAAAAAAATTTATGGATTATTCCAAAATCTACATGATCTTTTATTTCCTTATTTAAATCCTGATTACAAGTTTTATGATTTATAAGTGTAATATGTATATTAGGGTGGTCTTTATTTGACCAACTTTAAAAAATCGAATGGGAAAACCCCACATTTAGTTCTATGTAGTAAATAAAAATTTTTCGTAAAATTTAAGTATTTTAGGTCAAAGGTGTTGAAAAATAAGGAAAAGGGGTAGAAATATAGTATTTTGCTTGTATCTTTTAAAATATTAAGATGACGGAAAAAACTATATAATTAATTTTGTAGGAAAACATATTAGCAAAATAAAAGGTTCTTACAATATCTCTCTAAATATTGAGAATACAATAAAATTAAATGACATGATCAATACTAAGCTACGACTTAGTGATAAAAAAATAAGAATAAATTAAAAAAATATTGTCATTTTGAAGTTTAAAATTTTTTAATTTTCATAGCCTATTACACTTTTTGAAAATTGATAGCTAGGGCAATTATTATTAAATTAAAATAAAATACATAAACTTCAATTTTATGCATTGAGAAAAGATAACCCAACGGATATAAAGTCGCCACCCTCATAGCTCCCCTTTCAGTAAAGTTTATCAGGTTGTAATGTTGCAGAATTTAATTAGTTTTTTTAATAAATGTTATCAATGAGAGGTGTGTGTAGTAGGTGTAAAGTATTTTAATAATTGTGTATATGATAACCTCCACTAGTCAACCGGTCTGATATCTGTCATCAGCTGACCGTACACTGTGCACCTGTACCAATATTGTTATGTCCCCTCAATGAACGTGTTCAAAGTTGGCACCACCACCACCCGGCCTCAAGATCATCGGCCATTACACAACTGCCGCTACAACATTTTTTTTTCTCATCTATACTGCCGAGGCGACAAGTTGTCCGTTTGTATTTTTTTTGAAAACCACGTTTTTTTTTGTCCTCCGTTTTTTTTTTATTAAAATAAAACGTCGAGTGGATCTGCTGTCAACCAAGTGGTGTCGTTGTGTTTTTGTCCTCCGTTTTTTTTATTTAAACAAAACGTCGAGATGGTGATGATGATGATGATTGTGATGTGAGGCGCAACTATGGCCGGTGGTGGGCCATCACTCCTCAAGATCGACAGCAACAAGTATAACGTGAAACACCCCTGTTCTACCCATTATTAATATTGTTAATATAGCACCTCCTTTTTGCTTCCTTTTTTTATTATTATTCTTCCTTTATGAAAATATATATTTAAAATAATAATTAAAAAATTTTAATCATTAATAAAAAAAAAAAACGTTATTATATTATACATGGCCTCTTTTATTTTATGATCTTAATGATTGATTATTTTATGATTTAATGATCTTTTAAAAATTTGAAACTTTAAATGATTATATCTAATAAACGAANATTTTGAAACTTTAAATGTTTATATCTAATAAACGAATAAAGTTATATTAAAAATTCAAATACCATTTACTATTAAATTAAAAAGTCAAACATTTTATTAAANAATTAAAAACTCAAACATTTTATTAAATTAAAAATATGTGTTACCATTTAAAAAAACAAAGTTGACACCCTTACAAGGCATAAGGGATGAACTTAAAAAGTATTACATAGTTAATAATTCAAGAATAATATGTAACTAAGGATAATAATAAAAAAAAATTTTTTAATTATTATTATTCTGTAAGTAATTGAGTGGGTTATGATAAAAAAATCACCCTGTATATATAAGCATACTATAAGGTAATTAATTTTATTGAATTGTATTTATTACTTATTGAAGGGCCACAACCTGGCTGGACAGGGTAATAGTACAATAATATCATAATTAGAATTTTAGTTAACCATAAGATTTCTTCATAGTGTCTCTCCACTTATCGACTAGCTAGTCTGATCTCTGCCACAGTGCGGGCAATCGGAGTGTAGGACACTAACATAACTTATCGTGCATAAATCTATAGTACAGTCGCATCTAACCTAGGTCGTCCTACAGGTGATTGAAAAGAAGTAGGCCACATATCATAAGGTTCTTTGCATAAAGACAAAGATATTATTTGAGATCTCGCGTTGGTACATCCAGCTACGAAATACAAATAAATCAGAGTCGAAATATTATACTAAAAACTAATATTTTACTAATATATATTTATAACTAACATCATACTAAACAACTAAAAGTGTCTCTCCACTTATCGACCAGCTAGTCTGATCTATGCCACAGTGCCGGTGATCGGAGTGTAGGACACTAGTATAATCTATTGTGCAAAGAACTGAAATTGAGCTCGCATCTACCCTAGATCACCATTTGGACGACTGAAAAGACGTAGGCCACTTGGAAATAGTTTTGTTGCACAGGACAGTTATGTTGCTTAGAAGTTATTCATTTGCTTTATNTAGTTTGTTGCACAGGACAGTTATGTTGCTTAGAAGTTATTTATTTGCTTTATAAATTATTAAATAATAAATATATTAAGGTAAAACACCATATACAAAATTAAGGACTATACTACATAAATATACAAAAAGGTTTTTACAAAAAGACAGAGTTATAATAAACTTAGACTTCACCTTGGGTAGATTTAATATAGAATTGTACTAGAAAAGTAGTTACACGCAAGTTAATAATAATATAAACCGTATAAATATAATTGCGTACATTAATGCGTAAACGTATACATCGATAATTGTTACATCAACAACATCATTCATCTCAAGAGAATATCAGGATAGTCAGAGGTAAGTGAAACATTTATTTATATAATAAGTTTATAATAGATCCTTTACTGAAGAATTTTTTTAGTAATAAACAATTAGAACAAGATAGGTCATTGAGAATAAACTAAAATATTTTTATAAAAAACACGATACTTGTGACTCGCCGGAAATTAGTGTGCGCGTTTCTGTGCAGGAGCTAGGTAGTGACCCTTCTTTGTAATTCCATCTTATTCATACATTAGACGTCTTTACACAAGCATACATACCCCGAGATCCCTTTCTATTTCATTTTATTGTAGTCACTGCCGGGTATCTATAGACACTTTTACTTTCCATTGGTACCCATCCTTTTTACACTACGCCCGCTACGATTTATTTCCTTATTGGCAACCTGTGTTACATTTCTTTACATTTTTTCCCTTTCACACCCCGAACTCCAAACACACTTAACAACATTCCTTTACCACAACACACCATATCCTTTTTACTTCTTTTTGTCTACCACTACCTACACCCCCAGTCTTTCTTTTTGTTTATTACAGCATGGTAAGGGTGTCAACTTTGTTTTTTTAAATGGAAACACATATTTTTAATTTAATAAAATGTTTGACTTTTTAATTTAATAGTAAATGGTATTTGAATTTTTAATATAACTTTATTCGTTTATTATATATAAACATTTAAATTTTCAAAATTTTGAGTTAATATACATGTATAATACAAATGGGATTGAANTGAGTTAATATACATGTATAATACACATGGGATTGTAAATACAGGTAGCTAATTGGATTTTTATGACATTGCTGTCTCAGTCACGGATTGTTTATTATCAATTATGATTATCAATAGATATACTTTCTGTATTGTCAGTTAGTGTATTTATAATCAATAGGTACTCGTATTAAAAAAAAAATAGCGTTATTTGGACAGATAATTAAGTCTAGCTATGTTCGGTAATAGTAATTCTTAGTTAATTGAATAAACAAAATTGATTTGGTTACAATTAATAATTTTAATAATAACCCTTAATATATATGTGTGTGTGTGTTGTATGTGTATAAACGATACAAGGTTATAAATTATATCTAACTATTTATTACAGCGTGATGAGTGTATGACTTATAAGTTTAATATAAGATTAATCTTAAGTCCAAAATATGAGCGAGTTAAACCATTTACAATCGAGTATTTATGTAATCAAAAGTCCTCTTCACCATTAATTATTACTAAAATGAAATATATCTGTAGGACTAAAGGATAACATGTAGTCATAATAAAATATAAAATAAAAGACAATACAGTGCCGTAATTTATAATGAAATGTTAAGGAATTAGAATTGGAGAGAGTCAGGATACTACACTAATGTGTTATAACTTTTTTGGCCGTGCTACTTTTTTCTAGAAATTCATTGTGTTTTTATGTATTACGATTTTGATAGTAGTAGTCTAATGATATTATATATATATCTTTTATTTTTAAGGATTGTTTTTTTTAATGATAATTTTAATGAAATTTGGTATAGTAAACTATAGTATAGTTATCTGTTAATTCGTCAATAAAAGATCAAAATTTAAAGATTTAACAATATAAAATTGTATTTGTTTTTAATGTATATTTTACATCTTGGATGTTAAATTTAAACTCTAAATGATATCATTATATAAACAATTTGAAGTATACGTCTGTGAGTTAAGAAGTCTAACCGCAAAATGTCAAATACATTAAATCTATTTTTTTACAAAACATTATTTTAGAATAAATAATTAATATTTGCACTATTTCAGTATAAATGGCAAAACAACGTATGTAAAATTGCTCAGCTAAAATTTAAACATTTAAATAATTATTTTTTAAATTATTATTTTCTAAAGTAGATAAGTCATTGTCATGTATTTACAAACTATACTAATTTTTTGTTCAGTATGTTTTTTTACCGGCACAGTGGTAAGTATTTATTCATTGGTTTATTAGCTTCGATGCGAAGCTGAGAAAGTATTAATTTTACTATGATGTGTTTTTTTTTAAATTTTTTTTTTTTTTTTGTGTCTGTTACCACTTTATCTCAGCTCTCACCGAACGGATTTCTTTCAACGATACGTCAAAAGATCACAAATCGTATCTAGTCGAAGACGTTACCCTTCAAAATTGAAAAAATTTCCCTCGTTCCCCGTAAATGGGGGAAACCTCCAAAAAAATTACAAATTTAAAAATCGCTAATTTTCGAAATTTTTTCAATATTTTTAACTTAATAATGCTCTAACTTTTTCAAAAATGAACATATCAATATAAATTTTTTTTATATAGATGCTTGATGTCTTTACCTATCATTTGGTATATTTTTTTTGTAAATCTGACACTTAACCTGCCCACAGGGGGGGATTTAAAATGACAACTTTTTCACAACAAATTTACTTTTTCAACATAACTTTTGAAAATGNTTTTTTTATGAGAAATAATATTTTTTAATAAACCCTTTTTCATTCGACATACTTTATCTTAATCGAGATATTAATAAGGAACCAGCAGATCAAGTAGCTTTTGGAATAAAACACCAATTTTTTTAAAATTAAACACTATCTAAAGATTTGCATCGAAGCGTTTATTTTTGATAGTGATTTTAATCACTGTCAGATATAATTTACTTGATCCAACTATGCCACGTCACCACTGTGCCGCGACCCCCCTGTGCTGGGTTTTTTATTTATTAAATATGCTATATAAATATTTTAAGAGCCAAGGACTTAATGCACGTCAAATATATCTCTATCATGAATTGATATGGACATATGATATTGATGTAATAGAACATGCTTTAAAATGTAATGGTATCAATTCGAAGTCAATCAATGAGATCTGCGATAGGTATAAAAAAAGTAGAGGTAATTTATAATTTATAGCTTTAATTTTTTTAACATAACTTTTTATATATATGTCAATTACTATTTATAAATAAATTTGCTTACTTTAAAATTTATTTAAACTAAAAAAATACCCAATTTTAAATACTATAAAAATATATTTATAGCTAAATGTTTTTGCTTCGATGAGAAGCTAAGTAGGTATAATTTTACAATGTTTTATTTTTTTATCGCTGTCACAACTTTTTCTTTGCTCTCCCGGATGAAAAATTTCCCTCATTCCCTAGAAATGGGGGACATTTCCAAAACAATTACAATAATTAAGATCGGTAAATTTTGATATTTTTTCATTATAGATTCGATGCGAAGCTGAGAAGGTATTAATTTTACTAGTCTAGTCTAGGTACTACTATCTAGTCGAAATATATGTCTTCGACTAGATACGATTTGTTATCTTTGACGTATCGAAATAAATCAATTCGGTGAGAGCTGAGAAAAAGGGGTAACAGACACAAAAATATACATCATAGTAAAATTAATACCTTCTCAGCTTCGCATCGAAGCTAAAATAAAAAAATTCAGAATTTACCGATTTTAATAATTGTAATTGTTTTGGAGATGTCCAAAGTAGTGGCAATGATGTATTAATATTTATTTAATGTATTTGTATATGTTAAGTAAAAGTTAAATTTTAAGCTGTACTTGAGCTGACGTTAATGTCATCAAACATAATTTAAATACGTTATTTGTTGTACTGTTAAGTTGGGTGTTGCACGATGATCCAATTAAGTTATTATTTTGATTAAACAGCTTAAATAAAAAAAATTAATGAATACTAGTGTTACTATTAATAAATAGTTGTCTATGTCTTATGGCGACAAACGTTATGTATAGTAATACTATTGAAAAGAACGTTGAATAGTAATTCAATGTTAAAATAATTAAAATTAAATGTCTGAGAAATAAAGCTGATTAATACTGATGTATTAATGAATACTTTTTTGATTAAAATTTGATTTTTTATGGTGTTCGAATAAATTTGTAAAAGAATTATCCTAAATAATGTAAATTATGCATTAAGTGAGAGTTCAACTTTGAGAGATATTTGAGCTGACATTTTACGATGACAAACGTAATTGAAATATGTAAAGATACTGACGTACGAAGAATTTATTAAAGAGGGTGGTGTCACAACATAAATGAGTAGTTAACCTTTTTTTTTAATCAAGACAAATGGTTAATAATAGATAAAAATATGTAAATTCATAATAAAAATATATTTTCATATTGATTCTGTAAATTTACAAATTAATTGAATTTCTGTTTTATTTTAGAAAACACATATTTCCACATACTGGCCTTCACCGCTTTTCACATTAATTACAATTTAACTCGTAATTTCTAATAAATTTCGCATATTTTCATAGTATATGCCCCCTTCTTATGTGGAATCCACCGCCTTCCATCCCCAAATATTCACTTTTAACCACCATACCACTAACTGTACTAGCTAAAAATGAGGAAACCTTCACAGATGGGTTTATTCTTTAGCTTGTACAACGTTATACTATCAATGGGAAGGGAACATCGAACTTTCTAGCTGGATAAGTTGTTTGGATTGCTCGTTGGAGGGGCCGCTTATATAGATTGGAACTACTTATATTGTTTCGTTACTTGAAAAAAAAAACCTGAAAAAAAAGAAAAAACTACCAAAAATTAAAAATATGATCACAAGGGAGGTATCATAACCACCTGAGACACCCCTTAAATACACTATTGCATTAAGATATTACATGTTGTACTATCCAAACGGATTTTTTATGGCTATCTAATGTAGTAATAATTAAGATTAAACGGTTTAAAATTACAAATGAGCAATTAAAATTTTGTATAACGTGTTAAAAACCCCTGGATATTATTTTATAATAGCGTAGAGTATAGAACATATGGTCTTCGATTGTCGTCGGACACAGGAATGTGCTGACCAAGGGATTTAGGGCAACTATAAGTAAAGTACTCCCACAGTAGATCCCATAGAGTCAGTCGTGATTCGGTATGTGAGAGTGACGCTACACATAGTATTCTAAGTCTAAGCCGTTTAATTCTAAGTCTGTATACTAAGCTGTATTCTATTTTCGTGTGTTATTTATTATAACATTCAGTGTTATTGTATTCTATTCTAATCGATCACGATTAAATTGATCATTAATAAATAAACTTTATTTTATTCTACTTCAATTCTACTTTTTTACTAAAAATCCATCTTCTCCACGCAGGCCCGCATTACAAACGTAATGATAAGTGCTATACAGCCGCATAAGCGATTCCGAATTACAAAAGTTTATAAATTTTAACATTTTCTAACTGAATTTGTCTGCTAATCTTAAATAAAACTAAAAAATTAATTATTCTTTCAAATAAAAAGAGCTCAAAAATTATATTATAAGCGCACTTTTTAAAATTATTTTTTGTAAACAATTATGAAACATAAAATTTTAATCACCCTGTATTTAGTGTATCAATTTTTTATAGAAGTTTCAGCCGTACAACTCAACATGATTCTGAATTTATTGGTTCAAGTTAACAAGTGGGGTGATGAAAGAAATGTAAAATTACATATTACTTAGATTATTTTCCTTTTTACCTTAATCGTTAATAAATTATTTTGCATTTTCTAGGTGGAAAAATTGTGTACAGAAGAGGTTGAAAAATTCTCAATTGAATTCGATAATCTTGACTTAGACAATAATGGTCGTTTAAATAAAGAAGAATACAACAATTTAATTGATTATTTAATTGAAAAAGTAATTATAAATTTATTTTAAAATATTCATAATTATTTACATTCATAACCCAAGATTTTTTCTCTATCTACATAAAATTAATAGACCTCATAGTAATTTTGAACAAATAATTAATTAACATCTTTTCAAATAACTTCAATGATTTTATATATTAAAGATATCACGATTTATATAAAAGACAGTCATTATAAACGGAGAGTAACTTTTTGTCTATTGACAACACTGTGAATCAAAAAGTAACTATGTATACCTATTCTATGTTTAAAACTGTATTAGGATTCTAACATATGACTATCTTTTTATTCATTTCTAATTATTTAAAACATTCATATTAATATTAGTTCATTTTCGTTTGCATACTTTGCAATATCATGATTTAATATATAAATGGACTGTACAATTCGATTTTGATATCGATTGACACAAATCTGCTCTCGAAACCGTTCAGATAACAAAAGAAACTTATAAAAAAAAATGCCTAAGTAAATCGACAATATTCCGATGGTACAAAGTGTTCAAAGAGAGTAGAGAATCACATAGAGTCTTCGCCGCCGAAAATAGTCCGATAGTTGACATAGCGATCAAAGTCATTATTTTGTTTTTAGTTTCGATGCGAAGCTGAGAAAGTATTAATTTTACTATGATGTGTTTTTTTTTTAAATTTTTTTTTTTTTTGTGTCTGTTACCACTTTTTCCCAGCTCTAACCGAACTGATTTTTTTCAACGATACGTTAAAAGATCACAAATCATATCTAGTCGAAGACATTACCCTCAAAAATTGAAAACATTTCCTTCGTTCCCCATAAATGGGGGAAATCTCCAAAAAAATTACGAATTTAAAAATACCCAATTAAATACATATATATTTATGTTGTATTTAATATTACTACGTTAAGAAAAGGTTATTATACTGGTAATCGACCGTTGTGTCACCTGTATAGATAGTAATATGAATTAGTTTACTTCCTACAATCTCCATCCTAATTTCTGTGCAAGTGTACAATTATTGATTGTGATTTTATAAAATATGTAACAAATAATTTATTTTTGTATAGGTTATTAAAACGCGGCGTAAAATACCTTTATGTGATTATTTCATGAGCTATAAATTTTTTTACATACAATTATTGTTGAATTTATTTTTAAATTATTATTTTAATAAAATAATTGTCTCCATGGATAGAAGTAATACTTCCACGGCCCCTCTGCCAGCCGTAAGAGGAGACTAATGAAGTTGCGTCAGGTCGACAACCGACGTAAATTTTTTTCAAAAAGTAAAGTTATTACACTAAACATCATGAAAATTGTTTTGTTTTGAACCGTGTTAAACTTAATCATTCTGATATGGAAAAAATATTATACAAGTTTATGCTTTTTAATATTAAATTGTATAGAAATTTTTAAAATTTATATATTTTTTTTATTAAAATCTTTTTTTTCTTCGCCTTAATCCCAACTACTTGGGGTTAACCAATCTTATCCTAAACTTCCACTTAACACATCATCTATGCTCACATCAGCTGTCTTCATATTACATTTAATAATATCTCTCCATCTCTTTTTTGGTCTTCCTCTACCTCTTCTTCCTTAAATATTAATTTACATAGCTTTTCTCACAGCTTCCGATTCCTCTCTTCTCATAACATGACCAAATCATCTAAGTTTATTTTCTCTCAACTTATTATAATTGACACTACACCTATACTCTCTCTTATATGTTTGTTCATTATCCAATCTTCTCTAGTCACTCCACTCATCCATTTAAGTATTCTCATCTCTACTACATTCATTCTTTTTTCAACTGCCCAACATTCTAAACCAAACATCATAGTTGATTTCAATACAGTCTTAGTAGTGTACTATTAGAACTTTTTTTTTTAATTATGTACTTATCAATAAAAATAGTAGCACTTTCATTTAGATTAATATTGGAGATTCGTCTTTCAAAAATAAGACTCGCAATTAAACTAATATCGATGGAAGTTTACTAGTTAATTGAAAGTTACATGGAAGTGACTAGTAATAAAACAACATTCGTGTTTTATTTTCATCCAATATTAAAAAATGTTAATAACTTTCACAAACATTTAAATGCCAATAGACCTATTTTTAGAATATTAAAAATACAATTAAAATAATTCAGTAAAAAATTTTAACGAATACAAAAAAAATAAATTTGATTTTATGCCAAACGTTGAAATTAAAGCGTAACGTGTTAATGAAGTCCAATAGAGTTTAAATTTTGCAGGTGATTTATTTACATACAATTAAAAAAATATATTCTCGGCGTCCATTAAAATTTAGAATTTCAAAAATAAGGGCATTTAATAAGGATATAGCAATAAACTATTTTTCATATTTTAGGAATTAAAAGTGGACGAGGATAACAAAATTAATCCTAAAGGGTCTGTGGATGTTTTTGAGATGGATATTATTGACGAAAGTAATTATTAAACAAATAATTGTAAAAATTCTATATTTTATTTACATTGTGGTATTTTTTAGACAAAAATTATTTCGATTTAAGTGATGTTTTGTTAAAAGTAATACAGTACAAGGCATACTATAATGGAACAACATTTGTTGAATGTAATATTTGGTATATCGTTCAAGCTATATTATATAACATTTCAAATTTTAATGAACCGAAATCATTTAAACATATTCTCAGTGATTAAATATAAAAGTATTATTTTGTTTAAATTTTCAAAAACTCATGTTTTTTTTCTTTCAAATATTTTAAAATTATAAAAAGATGTAATTTCTACATCCAATTATTTTATGTATTTTATTATTATTATTATTGCTTTAGGTTTATTTAAATTTCATTTTATATTGAACCAATCATTATAGTATTAAACATTAATATTATACTCGTTAATCTCTTTCTTAGTACATGTTTAAAATAATCCGTCAACGTTATTATTTGAACGGTGTATGGGTTAAATGTACCAAATTCATTTTAACATTTGTGTTTTTCGCATATTCTTATAAATATTCAGAAGACACGTTCCATAAAAAAGAAATTTGATTCATCATTTTTTTGTTGACATTAAACCTATTCTCCCTTTTATATGTTCGTTCCTTATCCTATCTTATCTAATCACTCCACTCGTCCTTTTAGGTATTCTCATCTCTGCTACATTCATTCTCTGCTCTATTCTCTTGTTAACCGCACAGCATAATGAATCATACATCATAGGTGATCTCACTACAATCTTATAGAATTTACTTTTTAGTGTCATTGGAATTCTCTGATTGCATAACACACCAAACGCTTCTCTTTGCTTTATCCACCCACACTTAATCCTGTGTTTAACATCCTCGTCAATACCACCGTTCTTTTGCACAACTGATCCTAAATACTTTCCACCTCTCCCTCATGTCCTCGCTTATTGTCACTGATTTCCTCATTTCACTTATGTAGTGTTTTCTTATTCAAACTCGCAATCTATATACTCTGTCTTACTCCTACTTATTCTTAAACCCTTTTCATCATGAGCTGATCTCCTTACCTCTAGTCCTTGATTAATTTCCTCTCTATTTTCTCATATTAACACTAACTATATCGTCATCGTACAACATGCACCATGGCACCTCTCCTTGTATTTCTCTGGTAATTCCATCCATTACTATAGTAAATAAATAAGGGCTTAAATCAGAACCTTGGCGCAGTCTTACTCTTACCTTATAACCTTCTGCTACCTCTCCCACACTTTTTATCCTGATATAAGTGCCATCATATAATATAATATATTACATTCGCTATTATATTAATGTATCATTTTAGTACTCTTTTTTTCATTAATGCCCGTTTTAAAACTTCTCTCTATACTCTATCATACACTATCTCCAAATCTATAAACACCAACATTTAAATAATTTCCCTATACTGTTCTATTAATCGCCTCATAAAAAAAACTGGTTTTATCAATGGCTTTTTAGTCAAAAAACCAAACTGTTTCATTGTTACTGATGTTTTCCCTCTTATTTTTTTGTATATTACCTTTTCCCAAATCTTCATACTGTTACAACGATATTTAGGGGTTGATCCTAAATGACCGTCAGCAGTATTCTAAGGGACCAACTGGGGATATCTGACTAGGCTATATCTACCTTTGGTACTAAGGTATCCTATTTAATTTATATTCCCTCAGAGGAACTACCAATGGTCATACTACAATATATATATAACACTCTTGGTTAACATCGATGTAAATATTTATTAATTAAAGAGATATTTAATAAATAATACAACCTGCTGGACACTTTGAGATGATATAATCCAACAGGGAGCTGACGGCGACACACACACACGCTATTTACGTGATAGGCAAGTTAAGTTAAATATTAGACAAAAAGTAATGGTCGCTATTTTTTATAATGATTGAAAATAAATATACAAACAACTTTGCTCTTGTAATTTTTTTTTTCCAATCAACCGTTTACCGTTAAAGTTAAATGATTTTGGACTAAATTTCTATTATTATTTTAATGTTATGAATACAGAAGTCACTTATTTTCTATGGTGTAATATAAACTAATTTTTATTGATCAAGATATGACAAGTAAGATGGCAATAATAATTTTCGACACACTAATTGAGCGATAGTTATCTATTATTATAACAATAATAATAGATTCGAATTGGGTCTATGCTATATTTTCATAGCACAGTCTATCAGAGGCCTTGACACGGTCCCGCGGCGTTCTCGGTAAACGGTGCCCCGTGACACCTTTATCAGCCGTCGCCCAACTACGTGCATATGGTAGTTTGACTGACTAACACCGCGGGCGATACGCCACGGCACAAAGTCCAGCAAGTGCCGCACGTCCATCTACGACCCGCCGCCAACATACGTTAAGTAATCTCCGTGACACCGCACGGTACGGATCTTCTGCATATCACGCCTTACTACCAACCCGCAGCGCCTACGATATTACCATCGGTTTTTATTAAATATTAAGTATATTGTATATTTTATTTTGTTCTTGTTTGTGACTTTTTCTGAAGAAACAATATACGGCTTCGCGCCACTTTGTGATAAACAAATCCTGTTCGTTCTTCATTTGGTGCTCTACGACGATAGTCGTTACAGCCTTATTTTTGAATCGTCCGTTCGAACGTATACGTTCATTGAATGGACACGTTCGTCAAACGGATTCTATTGTTCAATTAGATATACAGCCTTTTAGGTATAGTTCGATGAACGTTTATGTTCCACGATTGTTTGCAATTTATTGTAATAACATAAATAAATATTTTGAATATTAAATTTATACGGCTTGATTTTTAATATTAAAATATTTATTTTTAATTAATATATTACATTTTAATAACAATAATTTATTACTAACACATACATGTATAATTTGTTAATTTAATTTACTTAATGTGAATTTAGTTCTAGTAATTCGTCAAAATTATTATATAAAATTATTTATATAAATAATTCAAGTACACAAATTCTAAAAAAACAACGGTAGCACAGTGGGGTCGTGGCATAGTGGAGACATTGCATAGTAGGGTCCAGTATAGATTTAATCTGGCAGTGATTAAAATCACTATCATAAGAAACGCTTCGATGCAAATCTGTAGATAGTGTTTAATTTTAAAAAATTGATGGATAATTGCAAAAGCAACATCAACTTCTATTAAAATAAAATACAAAACCCATAATTATCATACAAAAATAGTATATTTTTCAATATGGTAGCCATTTGCGTATAGAAGATAGATCGTCGGGACAAATTTTTTTTTT